AAATGTTTTCGTTGATATATCAGTTTGTCTGTAACATAAGTATATCCGGGACCATGGTGTGTTCATTGAAAAGAACAACGAAATATGTTAATTACCATTGAATTAGTGCACATTGATTTTTGAAGCTAATTGTATCATGACGAACGTGGAAGCAATCCTGATTCCTAAAGGTGAAGTCATGTTTATGCAGGTGCTTGTGCATTTAATCTTGAAGACATTTCAGTAGGACGACAAGTGCAACAACAGCCTGTTATCCAGCTGATATAATTGTCGAAAGTACAGGCAATAAATGAAACATCAAAGTATTTAAATGTAACATTCACAGATGAAATCGTCGGGTATTACATTTAAAGAGCACTCGGATATGTAAAGATTTGGCTAATGTGCATGTTCTAACTGTACTCTGTTCACTAATCACCAATGTTTTCCTTGCCAATAACACTAAAAATGAATCCGTTGCTGATCTGAAACTTTGTGATCAGGGGCTACATTTCTCCGCGTGTTCCTTATCTGTAACATTTATCTACACCTCAACAGCATCAGATCGATAGTCACATGTTATGAAACATACATGCCATGGCTACAACCACAAAGCCATCTGCGTCAGTGCCTAATGGATCGCTATGTATCTTCAACGTTAGCATAACAACTTTATCACGTGTTGGCCCCAAAGTTACTGGCCGAATCTAGAGATATTGCTCGAGAAAACAACATTCCTGTCTGCAATTGACATGCTTTCCTAGAATGAAACTGCATTGGAATTGATGGCATCAGACATTTGTGCGATAGCAGAACAAAAATAAACGTGAATCATCTGGCTCATAACTCTGAACATTTCCAGATTAAAATGATATTGTCATCGAGCAATTCGTTACACGAATGAAATCAAGCATACTGTTACAATATTGAAGAATAGTCCCTTGTTCCAAGCATCGAGATCGAAGTATTCCTCTCCTCTAGGTTATGTTCCTCGGCTTAAGCATTAGATATGAAATAGCAAGAGAAATGGTACCTAGCTGTTCTGTGTTTAGAGTATTGTTTTCAATATCCTCGTGACATGATGACCAAAGACAAGTTTCAAAGTAGTTTCCACTGTGATGTCTGTAACAATGTGACGTTATGTAAGAAGCGGCGGAGCACATGACCGTCGAACATGGGGATGCGCTGCTTGAAGGCGATGTCGAAAAACTCTTAGTCCGTTTCTCATACGCCAATGGCCTAATTCGTCGTTTGAGGTCGATTTTGTGCAGTCTACTACTGGATCAATTGATCATGCACTCTTAGGGCATCAGGTTTTATGTGTTTCAATAGGCACCAAATTCTGAACATGGGTCGGTCGGTCGGGGAAAAAAACTAAACTTAATATAGACAAAATTATCTGAATAATGTTCTTGATTCTCATTTATTGTAATTCCTATTACAATTTCTCGCGTTCTTTGTTTGGACTTGTGGCAGCGTCTGATTAAAAGATAAACATTTTACATGACGAAGCGGTACGTTTTAGGTTCGAATTGGCGTTGTTGGAATGAAAACAAACTACAGTTTGTTTTGGGGTGTGTTTTTTTGGGGTCCGCAATAAAATCGGAAGGGTCGGTCTGGCGATGAGAAACACCAAAAATAAAAATGCTGCCCTTATCTTTGATGACGGATGCTCTGCACGGTGTCGACCGTCAAAGGTTTGGGTTTTTTAATTTAGTACCCGTCCCAGAGTGTCTAGCACTATTGCGTGCGGCATGTGCAAACAGAAGGAGGTGATGTGCTTTAAGTTTTACAGACATAAACGCTCCTGCATATGACGTTTGTCTGAAACTCCAATCTGTGTTCCAATACTTGATATTCACATTTATATTTCATGATCCTCTTGATGTTTTCAGAGTACATTGTCAATGCATTAGTAAACAGCAAACGGTTATGACTAAATGTAATCTATTTTTCAATGGTGATTCGCGATGTTCACAAACACATACATGTACTTATGTAATGTATGTAAATAGGGAATACCTGCATTCCATTTTTTAACACCTGCATTCACATTATTCAACACTTGGTTTTACATCTATACTTTCCATCAAAAGTTTAGAATCACTAGTGTAAATATAGCCACTTCCTTTAGGAAACTGTTCTAAACTAAATTTTGCAAAATACTCCATACTGTTTAAAGGTACTGTTTACACATGACGTCTAACGTTTAAAAGATTATTGTTATGAGTTCCATAAATGAAAAAACTCTGTGAAAATTGGCGAATTCTTAACAAAACGTTACACCAAAACACAGCTGATCACATGCACAATATTTGCACATGCTTTTCAGCAATTTGATGCATGATCCTCGTGCAATTCATCTGCATAAGGTTTACAGTTGGTCCCCAAAGTTAGTGGAGAAATCAATCTTCGATGTAACCTCACATATATACATAACATATAGTCAGTGTTATAAGTGAGTCTAAACTTTTGATGGGAAGTATATATTGCAATTATTATTCCAAATTGTCTCAAGGGAACAAACCCTTATGAACATTTAAGCAACTCAAGTAAAATCGCCGTTTAGTTGTCCTAGAAATAGAACTGCAATATTCATCACTGGGAACCTTAACACAAAACGATGAGACACGATTATTAAGCATAATCTTGATTTTACTAATATGAATGCGTGGTCAGTTGCAGCATCGGGAATATAATTTACTTTCCTGAATGTCTTCATGTTCTTTGACTGATCCACCAGAATATGCCATCATACATATTTTACTTGCAATATACTCTATACGAAAGATGACTTTGTCTCCAGGAAATGACGATACTGTGAACAAAATTGAATTTCAGGCATCATGCAAGTGTAAGTGATATATAATTGCGCAACCACAAAACCATGCAATTAACTGATACTTATGTTACAGCTTACTCTGCTGGAAAGTGGAATTTCCCTCAGGAAATGGCGACACTTTAAATAAGGGCATCAATGGATTTCATTTTATAAATCGTTACAATCGCCGTTTTGACCTTTCTGATACTGATTCAGTTAAAGATAACCTATATTCCAAAGGGAGTTGTGTGGATTCCAGATTTTAACAGGTTTCAAGCAAACTGTAAAAGTTGTATGAGGCGACTAAATGTGATGCACAAAGAGCTCATGCTTGGACCAACAGTTAATATTACCCACTGGCACGTACGGTTTTAACCCCCCTGGATGCCGAGTATTTTTCAGGCGCACATTTTCGCTTTCATACGGTTTGAAAAGTGAACGTTGTGCGAGAATTGCGCTCGCGTGGTCCTGGATCTACGTACGGATATTACACAGGATTGTAGAATATTAAATTTCCTTTCCGTTGGTATAAATATAAGTGCAACTACCTCGGCGGTTTGAGAAATAGCTCTTGCTGAATGTTGTCCAAATTTTTGTTATGCGTTAAAAAAACAATAAATGTCTCCGCTTTTTATCGCGCACTGATAAAAGCACTGTGCTATTTTTTTTTAATTTGGCATCATTACGGAAAGTGTGAGCGACGAAAATACAGCCTGATATCTGAACGACATAAGTGTATATGAATTGGGTTTATATGCTGATGCATAACGTTATACGCTCAACATTAAAAATGACTCGCAATAATGTCAAAAATGGATGTTCTTCTATGACATCAAACGACGACAGAGAGGTCATACACGTATAATGATAAGGGGACATAACTCCGTCATGCTTAAGACTAGGTCAATGTAACTCAAATCACATTGAGAGAATTTGTTGTGGATACGGACGCTTTATTTTCGGTATTTTTGGTTCATGGTGAACCAAACTATTTCAATTCAAAGTTTCCCAACTACGCTTTGGTAGTTTCGCAATTTATAAGAAAAGATGACAACGTACTACATGTGAAAGCACGTAATAGCGATTTGGATGGCCCTATCCGACATATAAGTTAATAGTGCACATTTATAATGCGCTCATTTCCACGCTATATAGCTAGCAGCATGCTCAAGGCGCAACAATCAAAACGTACATAGGAAGGGATGATGCCAATGTTAGTATGATTCATAGAACTGGCGGAAAAGGTTTTGAGACTCGCCTTGAATGAATCAAACGTTGGACAAAGTTTAAGATCTTGGGGAAGAAAGTTCCACATGTAGGGGGCATAATGTTCCAAAGATCTCTGACCAAGGGACCTGAGTTTGTATTGTGGCACTGTCAGCAGGTTCTGGTGTTGAGATCTTAGTTCCCATGCTGGGGCATAGGTTGGTATCAGCTCTGATATGTATGGAGGAGATTGCTTGTGCAGAGATTTATATTTCAGACAGAGAATTTTGAACTGGATCCTTGCTCTTATTGGAAGCCAGTAGATATTTCTAAGAACAGGAGTGATGTGGGATTTCTTGGAGGTGAGAGTCACGATTCGTGCTGTCGTATTTTGCACCTTTTGAAGTTTGTCGAGGAGGACATCAGGGAGTCCTACATAGAGGCTGTTACAGTAGTCAAGTCTACTCAGAATCAGGCATCTAGCTAGACAATTAACAGCTTCCACGGTGATCAAGGGACGAATATTCCCAATCACTTGGAGATTCCAGTAGCAAGTCTTACAGACGTTATAATCTGAGCTTCCATGGAAAGCGTTGGGTCCAGCAGGACACCAAGATCTTTGACAGTCTTTGCTATCTGAACTTCCGTGTCTGAAACATTACTGGTGTTTATGTCCACCTTTTGGAGCTGCTGCTTGGTTCCGAAAAGGATCGCGTCAGTTTTATCGCTGTTCAATTTGAGTTTGTTTGAAATCCAAGATTTCAAGGACTTGGTGCAATCGGCTATATCACGGAGAGCTTCAGATGAGTTCTGAGGACGAAATATTGGTTGTACAAGTGACAGTCATCAGCATAGGAGTGATGAAGGAGACGGTGCTGTGAGATGATGCTTGAAGTACTGCCACAGTAGAGGACGCATAGCACTGGACCTAGAACAGATCCTTGCGGGACACCATACTGCAAGTTAACAGTGGATGACTTACAAGTTGTGATCTTCAATGAATGTATGAAGATATCCACCGCAGAGCTGTCCCGTCGATACCATACTGATGCCGGAGTCTGTCTAGAAGGTTGTGATCGATCGTATCGAAAGCTGAAGACAAGTCCAGTAGCACAAGGGCTGCAATGTTGCCATGATCAACTGCACGGCGAATGTCATTGATGACTCTTAGCAAGGCTGTTTCAGTACTATGGAACTTGCGGTAGGCTGACTGGAACTTTCTAGAAGAGAATTATTTGCAAGGTGACATTTGAGACGAATATGAAAAGCCTTTTCAATGATTTTAGACAGGAATGCCAGGTTTAAGACGGGTCTGAAGTTTTTCAAGTTTGATGTATCCAGGTTGCCCTTCTTGAGGAGAGACTTGACAAGAGCAGTTCTGAAAATCTCAGGAAATGATCCACATTCAAGACTCTTGTTCACGATGCTTGTGATACATGGAAGAAGTACATCCAAATGCTTAAGAACAATCTTGGTTGGCCCCGGGGCCCCGGCACAGGTAGTGGGCTTTGATGAACTAATAACCTCACGTATCTCTGCGTTCGTGAATAAAGCGAGATCAGTCAGGGGATGCACACTGTACTGATATCGCTGTTATACATGACGTCTGGGGACACTGTGATATCATCATAGAGCTTTTGTCGTATCATGTCGACTTTGTCAAGGAAGAAGTTATTGAAGGAGTCAGCAAGAGCCTTATTAGATGTAGAAGGTGGAAGTTTGGGTTCAGTCTTCTTGCCTTGTAGTTTGTTCATGAAGGTAAATGATCTTTGGGGTTTTCATGGATATTGGAGAGCTGCTGGAGGCAGTTGTCCTTCTTGCAGTTATGAATAACAGTTGTGGTGGCATTCCGAGCTTGCTTATAAAGGTGACGGTCTATTTCGAGATGATTTTTCCGCCATATGCGCTCGGCTAATCGACGTGCGACCTTGGCTTCCTGAACATGTTGAGAGTACCAGGGTGTATTTGTACGCACTCGGACCTTTCTCACCACAGGTGGTGCATGCTTATCGAGAAGTGTGGAGAGGGTGTCATGATAGAGTTTAGCATGATCAATCACATCAGGTGGGGGGTCACATAGCAATGCGGACTCTATCAGATCCAGTTGAAACTCATTGTGATCTATATTTCTGAGGTTTCGACATGTCACGGTTTCCTCTTTCTTCAAAGGTCTACTTGCGTTTAATGTAACGAAAACTAAAACGTGGTCAGACATTTGTCTGTCTTCAACAGAGACATTGTTTATGGTTCCATTGTCCTCGTGAGATATAATCCAGTCGAGGATATTTCCAGATTTGTGTTGGTACAGATACATGTTGACTGAGTCCAAAAGAACAAAGGAGATTGACAAAGTTCTTTACAAAAGGCTTTTCATCATCATTAAACTGAACATTGCAGTCACTAAAAAATAAAGTTTTCTTACCGGGATGAGATGCAAATAGATTAGACTTTTCATCATAGAACTGAGTGTTTGAAAGTCGATTTTTCCGTGATGGTGGAGGCTAATAGATACAAACCACCCTGAACACATGCTTGTCCGCTGTGACACAAACACCCAACTTTTCAAACGATTTTGGAGATTCGTTTGTTCTTGACTGGTGGAGGGTGATTGTAAGAGAGTTCCTGTATATAATGGCTATACCTCCGCCACACGAATTCAAGCGAGGTGAGTTGAGACAAGAAAAAGAAGGTGGGGTCATTTCATCTCCATGATTATGTAGCCACGACTCTGTTATAAGAAGAATATCCAAATCCATGTCAGTGATGCGATCCATAATATCCGTTGCCTTGTTTCTTGCAGATTGAGCGTTCCAGACACAAGCTCTGAGATTGGATAAACTTGTTTTGGTTGAAATATACTTCAGATTGTTAAAATTAACTCCATTGAAAGTTTTGATCTTGTCATGAACTTTTCTGCCACCTCTTTTGCTTCTCTTTGTTTTTCTTCTGATAGACAAACCTTGATTGCGTAACGTCTCTAAAAGTGCTGAGTTTGTTAAACAGTAGGAACAGTCCAGATAATTCATTGATGAACAACAGCTTCTAAAGCAATCACGAGACAATAGATTGTCCCTGGTGTAGGAAGCAGTAGGTTAATAATCCATTATTGAGGCCACAGGGTTGGCTTGGGTGCTGAGTGGTCTGAGGACACTACACCTTTTGAAAATGATGCAAAATGCAACACAAACTGTCCAATAAGTCCACATTTGGGAAAGATAACCATATGAAACTTCACAACTGCATTCCTTGATACCTTGGACACACGCAGCACAATTTTTAAACTTGTCGCTTGGTCATAAATGGCAAGAAAAGTCAAATTTGTGAGGAGCAAGTAGAGTGCTGCTACCTAGCGCAACTGCTTACCCATTAGAAGTTAGTTCTTAGATTCCCATATTCTCCTGTTTGTGTAGATGTATTTTGACTAATTTTGCATCGTTATTACCAGAGTACTAGCCATATCTTCAAATGTAATGAAATTGCTGAAAATAATACAACATTGTAGTTGACGTCATTGCTTGTTCTATGCATTTTGCGACGTCGAAAAAGACGACATTGGTATGCTGATTAGTATATATATACTGAACAGTATATATAAATATATATATATCACATGGATAAATAAAAACAGAATGCCTTTTCCTCTTACATGTTTCGTTCTTTACTCTTCAGGAGATTGACAATCTCCCTGAAGAGTAAAGAACGAAACATGTTGCAGAGGAGAAAAAGGCATTCTGTTTTTATTTATCTATGTGATATTTATGACTGAACACCTGTACTATTTTGGACACATCACATGACAACAACAAAATGCATGCACAACACACACGAAAAGCACAAATTGCATGCGTAAAACATGCTGATTAGGGGTATAAATGACCGTCGGCAAAAACGTTCTCATTTTAGCTGTACCTCCGCAAGTAAAGTTTATTTTGCAATGCCAAGATTGTCACCAGAGGAACGAGAACGGGCGTTGGGCATGTTGCAGGTTGGCACATCAAGCAGGATTATTGACAGACGATTTGGTTGCAATCATTCCACCATCATAAGACTTGCCAACAGGTACCAACAAACAGGAACCACCAAGGACCGCCAACGTCCTGGCCAGGCACGTGTTACCACCCCTCGCCTAGATCGAGACATTGTTCGGCGCCATATTCGGGATCGTACGTTGCCGGCTGCCAGAACCGCCAACACTATCCAAGGCCGACGTGGTTTGATCAGTGCTTCCACCGTCCGACGCCGTCTCCGTGCGGCAGGATTACGGTGTCGACACCCTTATGTTGGACCCATCCTGATTGATAGACATCGCCGTGAACGCCGACGATGGGCTGAACAGCATCGTTTGTGGTTGTTACGACGTTGGCATGGTGTTGTGTTCTCCGACGAGTCACGTTTTCACTTGCGAAATGCTGACGGGCGTCTATGGGTATGGCGTCGACGGGGAGAACGTTACCATCAGGACTGTGTTGTGCAAACAGATCGGTTGGGTGGAGTCAGCATTATAGTGTGGGGAGGGATCAGTTATCATCACAAAACCGCTCTGGTAGTTTGTCGTGGCAGAGTGAATGCCCTTTACTACCGTGACACAATTCTTCAGAACAACGTCGTACCTTCTTTAACCAACATCAAGATCTGCACACATGCCATCAGGACAATGCCTGAGCGCACACCGCACGAGTTGCAACACAGTTTCTGGCAAACAACAGCATTCCTCTACTTCCATGGCCTGCATTGTCACCAGATTTGTCTCCCATTGAACACTTGTGGGATTACATCGGACAACGCCTCTCACGTCGCCCACAGATCAACAACCTTGGGGAACTTGAGAATGCCTTGCAACAAGAGTGGAATGCATTGCCTCAAAACATTATTCAGAGACTTATCAGTTCAATGAGGAGACGTTGCACAGCTTGTGTTGCTGCTAACGGTAGTCATACACGTTACTGACTTTCCAATTTGATTCCATCTTTCTTTCATGGTCAGCTGAATTAAAACTTCACTGTTTTGCTGGATTGGTTCTTGTTTCTTTTCTTTACCAATCATTGGACTACAATAGTATGTAAACTTTACACCGATTGCACTTGGAAATCCAAACTAATACAGGTGGTGTGTCATCAATGATGTTCAGTGTGTGTGTGTGTATATATATATATATATATATATATATATATATATATATCACTTACAAGCCGAAACATGAATCTCATTAACCTATTCAGACAATGACCTACTTTTCAGACGATCCGAATTTTCTCATGTGAAAGTGAAAACAGACATCACAAACAACTATGGTTACACTGAATGCCAATTCTTGTTTTATATGAAAATGGTATTTACAAATGAATTTTAATTTTAAACTTTAATAAGATCGTATTTCTATATTTTATGGCGAGGTGTAGGCGGCATGACCTTAACTAAGACGTCACAGACTGCCCCTGTTTGATGAGGCCGTAAAATGATTCACAATGCATCTAGCTCACTGGTTACACCTGTTGTTGGTATTCTGTGCTGATTCAGTGTAGTTCCGTAACGCAAAATGTGATTGATATAATATCAATTCCGTACCAGACGCTTTTCTAGCGGCAGAGCCTCGTTTTGAGATTTCCAGGTTTCCGTTTGTCAGAGTTCGCTGTACGAGATAGCACACTGCACGACGTGTTTGCAAGGTTTAGAAGGAGCGTAGTGTTGCAATATACAAGTGCTTAGATGTATCAGATAATACTGATTAATATTTATGTATCCAGTTAAATGAATTGGTCTCAAAATTATGGACTGGTTATTGTACTAAGTTTTGCAATAGGACGGAACCAAGTCAACAGGAAACGAGACAGTTGTGTAATCAATGTTTTGACTTGTTCCCATTCAGTGTATAAAAGGTCTCGGCTTCTATATCAGATTTAACACTCTTTAGACAAAACATAAAATGACTGATTTTTAAATAGTGTCATGAATATATAAACAATTAGACGGTTTGATTGTGTATCTTATTGTGAGCAACACGCGCACCTGTCTGGTATCAATTGAACGTAAATGAAAATTCATATTTCACAACACCCGAATATTTTGTTTAGGATAAGAATTTTCTTTGTTTATTATTATGTAGCTATTTCTTTTCATAAGTATGCAATGAAAGATGCTAAAAGATAGCTTTTTATATATGGAACTATATATTAGAATATGGATGTAAATTTGTCCAAATTAAGACATGACAATTTTCGTATAAATATGGTTAGAGTTTGATATCCTGTCATCACAATATTTTTTAATCGAATATGAATTGATTATATTATCGAAAACAATTATAGTGAATCATAAAACGATTCCGACAAACGCGCACCTGGCCAATCAATATACATCATTGTTTTATCTATAAAACGACACAAAAAATATGCAATGAACAAGACAATTCCTTTAGATATCTGTGCATATACATTTCATAACATATATACATCATTTTCATTAATATTATCAGTTTTACTTATAAGGTTGAATTAAATCGCCCTTCATTAACGTGTTCATATGAAACTGCAATAGTAGTTCAAATGCATTGAATATTGTACATCATAGGAACTAAAGTAGTTGCAGTTATGGCTACGTTTGATCTTCTAACACTTGTGTAAAGGTTTAGAATATGGTGCACTGCACACAGTGTGTCAATTTCTTATGTACATATTATTCAAACAATCAAAAACTTTCAAAGAATAAAACACCGTAAACCCTATATGCACGTATGATATTGAACAAGGCCAAAATG